GAAAAGGGCCAGGGAGAGGGGCTGGGAGGCAGGGAGCTGGGAATGGGCATCCCTCACCCCCGGCCCCAGCCAGCGCCTGGGTGCAGGGCCCGAGCGCTGGGGAGGGAAAGCAGCCCTGCACACTTGGCATGGGCACGAAAAGCCCCTGGGGGCAGGCTGCAGCCAGGCACCCAGCGCACAGTTTCCCCCTCTCCTGGTGGAGGGGGAGGGAAGCGAGGCCCTGGCCTCATGGCCCCAGCTCCTTGGTGGGCCGGGGCCATGCGAGGTCTCGTGTTGCTGTGTCTGTCCCAGTCCACTGTGGCAGGTGAGTAAAGTAGCGTGATCTGATCCTTGCGTACCTTGTGCCACCAAGTTGGCCCTGATGGTGACCGATCGTGGGTGCTGCTGGCATCAGTCCCAGGCAAGATCAGCATCTGGGACAGCCACAGCCGGGAGGATGCAGGTCCTGGAGGACCAGCATGGGTCTCAGCAGCTTGCCACTGCCAGGGAAGAAAGAGACAGGAAAATGAAAAAGGAGGAGTGCAGAGAGAAGGGGAAGCAGAGGTAGCCTTGGGGACAAGAGGGAATCAGAGCAAAGAGAGCAGAAGAGGTGCAGGGCCACATGCACCCAGCAACATGCCCCACGTTTGCCCTGCAGCCTGTGGGATCCAGGCCACCGTGTCCCCCTCGCGATCAACACAGGAGTTTGCCACTGTGGCCCAGTTCCCGTGGGTGGTGGCACTGCAGGACCCGCAGCATGACCACCTGGCCTTCGGCTCCATCCTGAGTGAGCACTGGCTCCTTAGCGTTGCGTCCAGGCTGCAGAGCAGGTCCGTGCCTTGGGTATCCCGCTCTAGAGCCTGAGAGGTGCTCTGCACCCCCCCTGCCCCTGGGCAAGACTCAGGGATTTGCAGGAGATAAAAACACCTCTGAACGATCAGGAGGGGTTTGTCACTGTCCAGAGGCAGCAGCCGGAAGAATTGCCCTGAAATCAGAGTCAGGGGCACAGTTTGAACCAGGCTTTTGTTTCCATCCAGGATCTCCCCAGCTCCCACTTTGCTAGGTTCATCAGCAGGTCTTTTTGTAGGCAGCTTGGGAACAGCCCTCACAGTTTCACCTGCTCTCCTCTCCACCACTTCCAGCTGAGGCAAGGAAAACCCTCCCCTAGCGGGTCCTCCTTGGCAGCCTTCACAAACAAGGCTGCCAGATGGCTACCCATCCAGGGCCCAGCATGTCCCTTCCCAGACATGATGTGTCCCATCACAAGCCCTGTGCCCAGGAGGGATGTGGGAGCCTCAGACACAGGGCTTGTGATTCCCCTCTTTGGCAGCGAGAACCGAGCTGAAAAAGGACTGGTGTGAATGTGCCAGGTACCCCCCTCTGGGAGGTCACCTGGGCCCTGGGCACAGGGACAGGACTGTCACATTAGGGCCTGCTTCAACTATATGACATTAACACAGCCTGTGTCAAGGCTGGCTCCCCCTCCCAGAGCACTCCCCCAAACCCTCCCCACGCCCTCAGGCCCTGCCCTGCTTTATGCAACATATCTAAGCCCATGGCATCACTCTGCAGAAACACTGCTTCAGCCGGCAGTCGCCGGTCACCCCTCTACTGTGGTCTATAAAGACAGGTGAGCCCTTGCCTTTTTCTCCCCTCCTGGCCACCTCTGCAGGCAGCAGGTGTTGGCCGTGGTTGGGCTAAGTGACATGAAGAGGCGATGGGAGGACCAGCCCCAGTATTGGATCAGCTCCATCATCCCCCACGAGGACTTCGACAAGATCACGCTCTACAATAACATAGCTCTGCTCAGGACAGCCACCCCGCTGGAGTTCAACGACACCGTTCAGCCCATCTGCTTCCCCCAGAGAAGCCTTTCTAAGTCAGACCTCGTGAACTGCTGGGTCTCGGGCTGGCTCCATCCCATGGCAGGTAACCCCCTGATCCTATGGCAACCAGAGTCCCCCCACCCTCCCTGACAGGGTAGACAGCTGCTTCTCCACTCCCCCCCTCCAACACTGCTAATGGGAGCAAAGCAGACAGAGCTCGTCTTTGCTCCATGTGTCTCAGGAACAAGAAATACCAGCCAGTCGCCCATTCCTGTTTTCTGGAGGCGAGGGTCTGTCCAGGACAAAGAGCTAATTGGATCTCTTGGCCAGCCAGGGGGAAGTGCTGCGGTGGCTTTCTGAGGATGATCTCTGTGGTGGATGTGGATCCCTGCCCACTGAAAAGGATCACTACAACCGAGTGCTGCAGCCACAGGGACTCCGATAATGTGACAGGCTGCTTGGTAAGGAACATGCAGCGCCAACCCAAACTGGGCAGACATCTAGCCAAACCACTTCTTCCCCTGTTCTCCCCCATTCTGCACAACTCTGACTCAAGGCTGGGAGAGCAGCCAAAACACTTGTTGGGTCTCTTCTGCTCGATCCTTACAGGAAAAGATCCCTTCAGCACAGCTTGCAAATAGTAGGCGTGGGAGACTCTGCCTAAATGTGTGACATCCGTCTCCCTGCAGGTTGAGGGAAAAACCGTGTCTCTGTAGGCTGTGGGGTGCTGCTCTGGTCTCTGAGCCTCTTTTACTGACAAGGCCACATGGCTTATTTCCAAGGGCCCTTTGACATGGCCAATGCCAGGGAGCATCTCGCTTGATCGCTGGAAGGCAAAGCAGACAGGGATTCCTTGTGGCATGTACAGAGAGGTCAGGCATGGGGCTAGGCTGACAGTCAGGGGCTTGTGGATCCCCCAAGAGCCTGGTCACTTCATCTGGGGCACCCAGGAATGGTGTCTTCTATCAGCCCAAAGACAGCCAGCCCCTGACTCAGTGGTGCTTTGCTGTCAGTGACAATAAAGGAAGGAACTGATGCGACTTGCCCTCCTTTCACTCCAGTGAAGTCTACCAGATGCAAGAACAATGGCAGGCGGGAAATCGGGCTGTGGTGATCTAACCCTGCCTTTTTGTCTTTCAAAGGGTGACCCAGGCAACCCTGTCATGTGTCAGATTAAGGGTACTGAGAAATGGGTCCTGAAAGGAGTGCTCAGTGAGGGCGGCATGAGATGCTATGGACCATTCTTGTACACGATAGTGTCCTACTACAGCGACTGGATCTTGGCCACCACAGAAAGGGCAGGAGCTCCTGTGTTCCCCACACTAGTCAGAGCGAGAGCTGTTCTGCAGGCTCCCCCTGAAGAGTGGGAAGAAGCTTTCAAACTAGCAGTGAGAGTATTTCAGGAAGATGGTTCCAACCTCAAGCAGGAAAAGACACGCCTGAACTCATCTGAGGATGGGCCAGGTAGGGCCAGAACCCACAAAGGACCAGAACACTATGACTGCTACAGGGGGGAAAAGCTTCCCATCTCCAATGGACATTCATACCAGCCTCAGGTGCTTGGGGAAATGATTGCTGTTCCTCTCTTCCTGTTTTGTTATTTTACATGTTATTTTACATGAGGCTTTCTTGTGCACTCAAAAAGCCTTCCTGGTTCATGCATGTCATGTTGCAATGACCTGCCCTCTACACTTGCACTGCTGTGCCCTCTTCCTCTACTGTGGGAGCACACTCTGAGCTATTAAACGCTAGTCTCCCAAAGAATCTCTTCTGGTTCCTCCTACATTAAGTGATCACCAGGGCCGGTCCAGAGAGAAAGGGCCATGTAAACATGTCAGATTTGATCACCAGAGAATAACTGCTTGTAGTGATAGAGGGAGGTAGGAAGGGAGCATTCAGAGCACAACTGACTGACCTAGCAGGGCCTGCAAAGAGGCCAGGCAATAGAGCCTGGTGGAAGCTGGCATTTGTTGGGACTTGACAAAAGAGACGGCCTCACAACAGAGCTGAGTTTCTTCATCATTTCATGCAGAAGTGGTTTCATCTCATTGCAGCTGGCAGCATGTTACATCTACCCACTTGACAGCAAACTCCCAGACCAGGCGGGCGCTTTCTGCAGCTTTCACTGGCTGCCTTGCAGCATCAGACTACTCTAGTGCTGGTTACTAGCCATCTTGACCAGGTTCCATGCTCTGCGGTAGCTTTTCAAGGACATCTGCAAGAGAAGAAAGCAGAAGGGCCTGAACATGTTCAGACAGCAGTGATATGAGGCAGAGGGGTGCTGGAAAAGGCCCATGCAGGTTACATATGCAGAGCTAGAGATGCATCAGCCCCTGCATGTCCCCTTCTCCTTAAACACATTACAGGCTTCAATATAACAACAGCCTGATGGTGCTTCCCGTCAAATTACAAACTGTGTCCTTGCCCTGGCTTCCTTTCTGACTTCAATTGTTAATATTTCAGCTCTGTCCTTGGAGTAGGAAGCAATCGTTACTTGGCAAACAGGAAGCGCCTCCAGCTCTATTATACATCAGTGAAACCACAGCTCAAGAGCTCTCACTCATGCTTCCTGGCAGGTAGAGAGCAGCCACCTCAGTCCCTAGGGTGTCTGCAGGTGGGCAGGCACAGATGTGGCCCTGCTGGGATCTAACATCTAGCTCTGCGCAAGCCCAGGCCCACATGCACTCAGCCCTGTCTCACTCACCTCAGCAATCGCCACCTTCCTCTCCCAGGCCTTGAGACTGTTTCTGAGGTCACTAATGGCCATCTTCTCATGCACATACCTCAGAACAGGGGGAACTCTGTAATCTGAGAGCTGCCTCCACAGCTTCTTATTCAGGCTCTCAGCTTTGGCTCGTTCCTAGAAGAGGAAAAGGGACAGAGAGCAAGGAAATCCCAGGAAAATGGTCTTCTGCCAGCTGATGGCCATTCCTCCAGGGAAGAAGGCCATCAGGATAAACTAAGACCCCAACACTGGCTATGTAATTGGGAGGAACAGTCTGATGCATCCACCAGTGCCTCAGGACCTGTCAGTCGGCTGCTAGGGAGCCCTTTGAACCCACTGCCCAAAGCTATGGTGTCCCAGCTGGGATGTGTGTCTCCAGACTGGTGTGACAGTGGTGCCACTTCTCCCTGGAGAGGACGCTGCTGATGAAGAGTTCGAGGAAACAAAATTTCAGGAAACTGATGGCTGATACCACCTGTGAAGCCGTGGCCAAAATCCACAAAGGGCCCTGTTCTGCAAACTTGCTGCCTCTCGCTGGCATTAGCAGAAGCTCCAGGATTTACTCTCAGACCCATGAAGGTAGACAGGTATCCAGCCCACTGCAATGCCTCAAATGGGGAACGGTATTCAATCTACCACAAAAAATACCTTAAAAGGGTCCCCCCAAGTGAACTCCTAGGAATTCCCAAACCCTAGAACAGATCCCTTTTACCTCCTCCACTAGAATGGCTTCTCTTTCAATTTTCTCCAGCAGCTCCTTTCTCTGGGAGATGTCTTTCATTAAGCATACTGATGTTTCCATGGCATTCTGCAGCCTCCTCTGGAATACAAGAGCAGAATAGTGTCAACAAGCACAACCACAGCTTTCAGGTAGCTGCGAAGCTACCCCTTTGTTTGCTAAGCGCAGGCCCTCTTCAGGCTTTGTGTCCGCTGACGGTGCAGGAACCCTGCTCCAAATGGATCTACTGGGCATCTCATGTCCCCTGTAGAAGGCAGCAGCATGCCCTAGCGCTGGCTGCCAAGTGCTGGGGCAATATTAGCCAGGAGAGCAGGTAATTCTGAGCCAAGAGCCTGTGCTGACAAAGACAGAGCTATTGCTGCAGCCCAGCATTTCCTACTGGAAGAAGAGAGAACTGAGTAATTCCAACAGCCGCTCCTTGATGTGGGTTATGAGCTCCGATCTTCAGAAGCACAAATGGCAGAGGCGTCCTACACTCACTGCAGGTAGAGTTGAGCATCTCACTAGCCATGTCCACTTGAAAAATATCCCCCTTCTGTGTATGCACAGGTAAGATACGTATCTTGCTGGGCAGCCATCACTTCCTCATCCAGAGCAGTGTGGTCACTGCTGAGATGGGAAGCTGGAACCAAACTATGGCCAGGACACAGGGGAAAAGCGCGAAAGCCATTAAAATCTGTGGGCATGGGGTGGGATGGGGTGGGGAGAGGTGTTGACCCAGTTACCACAGATACTGCTTCAAGTGACCTAGTAGTTATGTCCTCTATGTTACACTGCAGCACAGCCCACAGCACAGCAGCCTAGGTTTATGACTGATCCACACAGAAAGGTTCTTCCTAGAGAAGCAAATACTCCCAGCTGAGAAGCGCTTTAACTGACATGATCAGAGCCTCAGAGACATGGCTGCAGTTCTTGACATCCTTTCAAATGTCACAGGTTACATAAAAATGTATTTTCCTGTGCACGTCAGCACCAAAGCTCTTTCCAACCAGAATTTTCCCTGGGATGTAAAATAGCCCTGTTGCAAAGCATGAGACCTGTCATTGGCCTGCAGTCAAACATGAATGAGGACATCACTGCTAAGAGAGGGACGTGGGACTCTATGGTGTGTCAAGCAAACCTCCCAGCTGAACTGTTAAATCAGTGGAAAGGCATCCTTTCTCTGAGACGCAAGAGCTGTTAATGATCTTCTGTCTGACTCTTGGAAACTGAAGAAAGGGAAAATGGAGGCGCTGGGAGCTTCACTCACTTTATAGAAGTTGAGGACCTGGACAGTCTTTCCTGAGGTCAGTTTTAGCTGCAGCAGCTCCTGGTTCTTCTCATCAATCTTCTCCTGGTACTGCATGTTTCTAATCTGCAGCTGCTCGAAACGTATCTCACGGAGCGTCTCTCCCATCTGCTCTTTCTGCAAACCCCACGAAAGCACAGCTACAGATTACTGACCACATTTAAATCCCAAGTAAGAGGGCTTTGCTCTGTGGGGAAAGCAGACTTAAAGAACAGACCTCAGCCTGGCTGCAAACCTGGGGCTTAGGGAGAAATGTGAGACACAGCATGCTGCTCCCCATGTGCTCTGTGTCCTAGCCTGGTGGATCCAAGCAATACAGACAGCAAAGCAAAGGTTCCCTTTGCTCAGGCTCCTGCTATGCCAGTAGCCCTTCCCCAGGAAATTGCGCTGATCCATCATAGATCTTTTGCAGAGCACAAAGAGATTTGCCATCCTCCAGTCTGTGAGACTTCTGGTCTCATCTCATGCGTGCAGAGATGTTTCAGGTCTCAACCTTTCCTGGCAGACGACAGTGCCCTTTGACAAAGGCAGCAAGGCCGGAAGCAAAGGAGGGAAAGCAAGGAGGAGGAGGAGGGCCATGATTCTCTGCACAGGGCAGGCCACACATCTCTGCACCAGGCTGTACCCCTTTGCTCTTCGAGGGGCTATATAGTCCCTGCTTCCCCTCAATTGCCACACACACCTGCCTGAGCTGCTGCTGCAGCTTTTTCTTGTAACTCTTGAGCGAATCGTTTTTCAAGCGCAACTTTTCTTTCATCAGATCCTAGAGAAAGAAAGCAGATTAGAGTGGAACAGCAGAGTCTGGGATGGGAAAGAGCACCTGGTTCCTGTCCATCTCATGCAGTCATCACACTGCTTCACCTCTGGCTGAGAAAGGAGCACTCACTTCTCTCAGTGAGAAACACTGCTCAGCATCACCGTGCCCCAAATGTGGGAACACTGGCTGTGCAGTTTCCCAGGCTCCATTAAGTTGGAGGGCTGAGCCCTGCACAGTCTCTACTCACAGCTGCGCTGCAGCTCACCGGTCTGATGAGCATCCAAACTAGTCACTGACTGACACGTGTGACAAGGGTTGTCCAAACAGACTTGCTAAGATAGGTGTGAAAATTTTACACAGGCCATACATGAGTACAGGAACTAGGATTCTGCCTAAATGACATACTGTTCAGATGAGAGGCGAGGTTCAAAAATTGCCCTGCTGCACTGACCCTCTGGTGGTTCTTCTCCTCCATGTATCTCAGCAGCTTCTCAGAAGCTACGATACTCCCTTTCTTCAGGGAGATGGTACTGATGATATCTTTGTCAAAATCACTGATGGCTTTCTTAACATCAGCCCACCAAATATCTGCTTCTTCCATGACTGCCTGCAGAAATAAAGTCACATAGCAGTCAAGAGGTGACAGCTTCCCTTATTCAGAAAGCTTTGGGGATAGACAACACTGGAATGGACCAGGCATACTTCCTGCTAGTGTTACTAGCGTTTCTCCTCTGGGAGCAATGATTTTCATACTGTGTAGCTTGGGACACATGGTACAGTCTTATACAGTACTGTTATTTCATTGACTCAAAAAGAAGAAAAAACATCTCTCATGCCTGAGTTTCAGGGTCTGTCACGCTACCCTGAGCTATAAACATCACTAGTCTAACTAAACCTACAGAAGACAAAAAAATATCACTGTTTGTTCGCTGCACGTGTCCTGTGGCCACACAAGACAGACAGGCTATCAGCTTCCCTTGGCCCGGCTTCTGCATGCTGCATCAGGTGGCCCCAACTGAGAAAAGAGGAGGTTCCTCCTTTCCCAAGAGCTCCCGAGCATCTTGGCAAGGCAGAGCTCTTGGCAGATAGCCCAGGGCAGATAGGGATGGAGATACAGCAGCAAGAAGCCTGCAGCAGGAACACAGAGCAGGAGACTTGGAGCACGCCCCAAACAAATCTCAAAGGCAGTGGAAAGATAGACCCTGCACAGAGTCCAATCAAACCAGGAAGCTCTTGAGAGCTGTTAGAGTGAAAAATATGTCTGACAAAAAGGACAAGAACCTGTCTGACAAAAAGGACCTTCAAGAAACAGACAAAAAGGAGATTTTGCTTTCAAGCATCTATTTCTTCCATCTAACACAGCAGAGCTGAGTTTCTTTATTTAAAAGTCTTCTAGTCTGCATTTTTATTAGTTTGTGTTATAATAAAATGTAGCTTTAGAGACTGGGGACCACTCTATTCATGTGTTTGCCCTCAAGAAAAGGGTGAGGTGAGGTACTGGCTCCCACCCTCAATTCAGGATCACTCATAGCAGTGCTCTGCTATGAACAGCCCTTGCCAAACAAGTCTGTCTCTCTGGCATGAGGGCTGGCATATTGAAAGAGGTGTGAAAAGTAACAAAACTGTTTGACACCTTGGTGATCCTAATGTCCCTGGCGAGCCATACCTCGAGGTTTTGTATAGTCTGCTCAGAGTCCTCCTTCAGCCTCTGAATCTCATCCTTTGTCTCTTCCAGCTCCCGCTCAGCCAGCTCACATTTCTGCTCCACTGTCAGGCCTACAAAACGGTCTGTTGGACCACGCGACTTGGATTTGTACCTGCCACGTGTCTGCAACCACCAAGGAACAATGCAGATGCCATTAGAAAACCAGCCCTGACCAAATGTTACTGTATTTTCCCGTATTCAAAAATATAATAATCTCCTGGGCCACATGTTAGACGGATTCCAGTTTACAGCAAGGACAAGGGGACATCTCCAGAGCAGGGATAATGCATGGCCACACCTGGGCTGCCCCATGTGTCCTCTCATCTACCCACAAAACCCTCCTACACAAGCACTTTCAATTCAATCCAACAGGCAAATCCAGGGCTATAGGTTAAAGCCAACACTAGGACTTTACCTGAGCAGGTAAACCACCTCTTTGTAGTGAAGATGCTAATTAACGGGGACATTATTTACAACTTCCCATGTAGAACAGATGAGGTCTCCTACAACTGCCTGGGTCAGAGACACTGAGGAACTGAGCTCACTGCAGCAGGAGGAGGCTGGAATTTGCTCTCAGAACTAATACCGCTCCGAAGCAATTAACAGCTCATGAGGAGACACAACAACATAGGCGCTGCTTCACAGTAAGACTGCTCCCATCTGGCCAAGGGTAAAATTCCCAAGGGCTCAGTCTGGGAAAAAACAGAAAGCGGTTACTTTGGACTCAGGCAGCAGCTCAAATCTAGTACAAGATATTGGCTGAAAGGAGCTCCACCAGAAAAGGTCTTAAACTTCTATACACTGAGTCGCTGGTGAAAAGGTGAAGTTCAGGCCAAGAGGCAAAAATCTGCTCAAAAGTCTGTTCAGGGCTCATCACAGGCTCCAGTGAAAAGGGGCAGAGCAATATGCATTCAACAGCAGTAAATGAATGCAAATGCATATAGATCTAAGTCTATGTGGAACTTCCCCAAGAGGGAGAAGAGGAGGAGCGGAGCACCCTTATCACAGATCTCACACAGCCTTGGGCAAGTCTCCTACTTTCTCTGCATCAGCCTCCCTATTTATTTTACATCTACTTCAAAATAAGCACTGGGGGGGTTAACTCATTGCTGTGTGTTCGTGTGAAGTGTTTCCAGATCTCCCTGGCACTCGCTGTTCAAGAGGACAAAGTGCTGTCATATAGGGAAGAAACAGCATCAGCTGCAAGAGAAATCAAAAGGCAGCCTGGCCCTTGGCCTGAATGCAGAAACAGCAAGGGAGCCCAAATTCTCATACCTAGACCAGTAGCATCTTTTTTCAAGTAGGTGTCTAGGTTAAGTTGTTCCTCACTGTGAAGCCTAAGTATAACGCGTGTCAGGGGGACAGATGCGCACCTTCCCCGACCACCAGCATAGCTTGTTCTGCTCGCTCTGTTTCAAATAGCTGGAGACTCATTTCAAGCTGAGAGAGATGCCAAGAGGAGCTCATCTGCTGCAATCTATGTATACTGCTGCCCTCAAACCTCCTGCCACATAAGCTTTAAGACAGGGAGGACAAAGGGAGAACTGCAGAAAAAGCAAGGGGAATGGCTAGTTGCAGTCATGTTAGGAGGAAGACCTGCAAACACAGTTACTTGCAAACACGCAGCTGCTGCCCTAACTCTGTAACAGTACCTGTATCATCTCTGGTGAGGAGTCACATGCGTCCGACAGCAGGTGGAGCGACAGGCTTTGCGGCTCCATCTTACGGTACCATTTTTCGAACATTTCCATCTCGATTCTGAGCATGGCGTTGGCCTGGCTGCAGAGAGGCGGGGGTCAGGCACGCTTTGCTTCTCGCGGGTGAGAGCCGGGCTCAGCGCAGGGTCACTGCACGCAGCCAAAGGGTAAAGGCAACACTGCTACAGCCAGAACCATTTAGGGCAAAACAGGCATCCTGAAACGCACTCGAGGGCCCCAGACCCCCCCTCACAAAACCAGGATGCAGAAAAGGCAGCCAGAGCCTTTCCTCTTGGGCTGGGACGCTGCTTCTGCAAGTTGTGACAGGCCCACAAGACCGGTTCAGAGGCACACTTCATTTACAGTGACCTTATTTTTCTTCTAACTGGAGTTAAGACATCCCTTGCAAAAACCCACCACCCAGCACAGGGTCTGCGACAACCCAGTGACTCGCTGGGCGCCAACAGCATTTTGGCTGCACGCGCAGCTGCCCGGTGCTAAGGAGCCCCTGGAGAGGCAGGTTCGCCCTGGCCAGGCCAGCCCGAGTCGTCCGAGGCGACGCGGCCGCACGGCCGTCCCTGTTCCTCGCCTCCCCGGGAGGATTCTCTGCCACATCACACCTCCCTGGACTGGCAGGTGAAGTCACCCCTTGGGAGCTAGCTGCTAAAGGGAAAAAACGTTGCCAGC